CAATCAGACCCTACTCAGTCACTGTTTTTGTGACCTTGGATGTTACTTAACTTCTCTGAGACTCAGGTGGGTTTTTTTTTTTGTTTGTTTGTTTGGTTGGTTGGTTTTGGTTTTTTTGAGACAGAGTCTTACTACATCACCCTCGGTAGAGTGCTGTGATGTCACGGCTCACAGCAACCTCAAATTCTTGGGTTTAGGTGCCTGTGGCTCAAGGAGTAGGGCACCAGCCCCATATGCTGAGGGTGGTGGGTTCAAACCCAGCCTCGGCCAAATAAAATAAAATAAAATAAAAGCATTAAAAAAAAAAAAAACAGAAAAGACCAAGCTTAAAAAAAAAATTCTTGAGTTTAAGAGAGTCTCCTGCCCCAGCCTCCCAAGTAGCTGGGACTACAGGCACCCACCACAACACCCAGCTATTTTTTGTTGCAGCTGTCATTGCTGTTTAGCTGGCTGGGGCCAGTTTCAAACCCGCCAGCCTTCGTGTATGCAGCTGGTGCCATAACAACTGTGCAATGGACACCAAGGTGAGACTCAGTTTTGTAATCTGTGAAATGGAAATAATTATAACGTTCTTGTGAAGATTAAATGTAGAACACTTAGCACACCATGTGGTACATAATGAGTTAGTATTAATTAGTGTATGAATGAACAATGATGAATGAATGAATATCTTACTTAATGACCAAATCTAGGCTAGTCTGGTAACCCAGAAGCTTGAGTCTTTTGTATGCTCAGCACTTTTTGTCAATAGAGTGCTAGATTCCTTTCTACATCTGAATTGCTCTGTTTGAGGAATAAGCATTACTAAGCCTGGAATGAATGGAGAGGGCAACACTGGCCACACTGCCCTCCCCATATCCCATGCATTCCCTTTTACCCCACCCCTTTTGATTGGTTCCTTCCTCCATTCCTCTCACCCTCTTTCCCTCCTTTTTTTCTTCTTTTGAGACAGAGTCTCATTTTGTTCCCCTCAGTAGAGTGCTGTGGCATCACAGCAACCTCAAGCTCTTGGGCTCAAGTGATTCTCTTGCCTCAGCCTCCCATGTAGCTGGGACTATAAGTAGGGTGACCAGACGCCCCACTTTGGGCGGAACAGTCCCACTTTTTAACAAATTGTCCCCCGTCCGGCAGCATTTTAAAAAAGTCCTGATTTTTGGAAAGAATGCACCAATGGGCTGGAGAACAGGAAGGGAATATACGGTTTTTAGCTGCCATGTGGCTATTTTGCCAGGATATGAGTTTTATATTATTTTTGTTAATTTTATAATGTTAAACTTAATAATAACAAATAATTATTGAGAAGAGATTATTGAGAATTGCTTATCAAAGTTTGCATTGTTGTCAGGCCCTGCCCTGCCCCGTCCCCCGCCCCGCCATGTTGTCCCGCTTTACAAATGTTAAAATCTAGTCACCCTAACTATAAGGTGCCCCCTACAACGCCTGGCATTTTTAGAGATGGGGTCTCACTCTTGCTGGAACTGGTCTCCAACTCCTGTGCTCAGGCAATCCACCTGCCTCTGCCTCCCAGAGTGCTAGGATTACAGGCGTGAGCCACCAGGCTGGGCCTTCAGATTAACAGTGAGCTTTTCCCCACTCCACAGGCTCTCTGACTAGACTGGGCTGACAAGGCTAGGAGGAGATCAGCCACACTGAGACGCTTGGACACTTAACAGGGGAAGTGTCCCCAGCTGCTACAGCTATGGCCTAAGGTCCCACGGAGACAGGCGCCCCCTACGGGCAGAAAGCAGCCCCACACTCCTACAGGCGGCTTTGGTTGCTAGGCGACCAGGCAGCCTGCACAAAGATTGAGACAATGGAGGACTTTGGGAAGGGATTTTCAAGGACAGACTATTTTGCACTCCTTTCACTGCTTCTCCTGCGCCCTTAGCAAGGAGATCCGGTCGGAGCAGCGCGGCTTGCTGCTAATATGGGCTCATCTTGAAAATAGAGCTTCATTGGGTGATCCTAGTTTTTGAATGTGGAGAACAAATCACCCTGGCCTCAAATATGGTTTCATCTTGAGGCTGCAGGCCTTGGTAGCATAGGGCAGACGTTCCTGATTCGCGAGGGGAGAGGGGCATCCTTGTTGTAAGTGTGCATCCTTAGTCAATGAGAATTCTAGCAAATTGAAGGTAGGTGGAAATAATTTTGGTGATTAGTCCAGTATGGTATCAGGATTTCACCACCATTCCCAATGTATGCATTAGGAAACTCTTTTGTTACCCATTAAAATAAAAAGGACTCAGGCAGCGCCTGTGGCTCAAAGGAGTAGGGCGCTGGCCCCATATGCCGGAGGTGGCAGGTTCAAGCACAGCCCTGGCCAAAAACTGCTATATATATATATATATGTAATAATAATAATGACTCATGGGAATGACAGTATATAAAGGATCATTCATACCTCATTGGGGACAAGTTCCTTCATGAGGTCTTTCGACTCCAGTCAGCAAGGATACAGAGCCCAACAAAATGGAAAGAAAGAAAAAGAATGGGAGGATTTTAAAAATAGAATTTGGCAGCTTCCTAGAGCTATGCCTGGTTTGGGGATCCCCAGCTCTGTGCCTCCTCCATAAACACCATACTGAAACAAGCACCTCATCTTTATGAGGACCTTTGGGGTTCAGAAATCCACAACTTTTCCTCCCAACAACCTAGTATGCTGGCCCAGGAGTAGTCCAAGAGATAACTCTCCGCTTGGGACTTAGCTCTTCTCTTTCAGCTAGTAAAACAGAAGTTTCAGTGTGGCAGAGCCCCAAGCCATGGGAAGCTTAGATAAGAGCTGTGCCCAAGAGTCTCCTAGTGGGCTTTCCCTTAAGAGTTCCAACGCAGGGATACCAGGTTGAGGTAACTGGCAGCCCAGCCACTTCCTCAGTCCACAGTATCTCCATAGGGCATGATGGCAGGAGGAGGCTCCTTGCTCCCTATGTTTCCAAACTGAACTGGGTTGGGGCTGAGCCTCCACTCTATTAATACCCCCTAGCCCAGCCTGCTAGCCCCAAATCAGATCCTGGGAGCTGTGAGTCAGCAGCTAAAAATAACTGAGAGCAACTAAACTCGAACCCCAATGAGCAGCTCCCCTTGGTCCTCTGTCCTCACGTTTTTGTCAATCTCAGTCTCCAGTCTGGGGCCCACAGAGGTTAAGTGAGCTATAACTGTCCAATCCTCCTGGGAAGAGAGTAAGGATTTGCGGTGGCAGGCTCAGGACTGAGTACCCAAGGTTAGGGGCCAGGAGCAAGGGGTTAGAGGCTTGGGCTGAGCGCTGGAATTCTGGCTGGGAGTCTGGACGCTGAGGTTAGAAGACCGCAGCTGATAGCCAGGGAGCTGAGAGGTTGGGGCAGCAGGGGAGGAGACACTAGGGGTCTTTGGGGCAAGGCTGGGAGGTGAGGAGAGGAGAGGCTTCGGGTCTTCAAGGCTGGGCTATTGGAAAGGAACAGAAAAGTAGGGATGGGGGCAGGTGCTGAAAGGGGAGAACCCTGCAGTACCTGACCGGCTGAGGACCCCAGAGCTGAGGCCGGTAGTTGACCTGACTGAGGCAGAGGTTGGGGGAGGGATCAGGAACAAAGAGAAGTAATCGCAGCTTGAAAAGGCAGAGCGAAAGAGAGCTGCCCAGCACCCAGAGGCGTGAACCTCCAAGACCAAGACCAAGGAAGCTTCGGTGCTCTCTCCCAGTATGCCTCCAGCCTCCCAGTGCGTTGCATATCGGTGTCCCAGCCCACAGCGCCAGCTGCAGGCCAGGTATGTCGGTGTGGATGGCTGCCAGATTATGTATGTGTGGGTGTGTACGTGAAGATGGCGGGGCAGCGAGAGCAGGCAAGGGGCGGGGTCCAGTAGAGGGGAAGGGAACATAAATTCAAACTCGCTTCCGTCAATCCTGAGACCGGAAACTGCCAGGGACATACTGGGAATTGTAGTTCCTACGGCTGCCCTGCAACCGAGAGATAGAGTCTTGTCCCGAGGTGCTAGTGCTACCGCAGGTCCGGGTCTGACGAGAGAGGAAGAATCAAGAACCGAACCTTCTGACCTGTCAAGTGCCTTAATTTATCTTCCCTTCGTGTGGAGACACGAACCAAGGCGAATGTCGGTGCACATGTAGGGTCAGTTATAAAGCCCCTTCTGTCCCTGTTTTTGCCTTAGCCTCCCTGCCCCCCTCCCTGCCTCCCATACTAGTTCAGCTATGCACTAGCCACCTCAACTGCCTTCTTAGTCCAGGAACTCATGAACAGCAAACACACTGGGGAACTTGCTCCTCAAGGGGAAGGCTGGGCTGGAAACTAGACTCTGCCTGCAGTCCAGAGGAGCTAAAACTCGTAGAAATCGGACCATACCCCCAGAGTCCGAAGTCAAGGACACACATCCCCAATAGATACGGAAAACAGGTGGTTTTCAGCAAATACGTCACAGTAGCGATAGACCTGGCCCTCCCCTTGGGTCAGGTGACCACAAGGTGGCGCTACAATGCAACCCTGCGCAGTTCACTTTGGCTATGGGGAACGCCCCCCAGTGTTGGCCACTCTCTAGCTTGCTTCTGGCAGTCCTTCATTGTTGGGGTGACTTCTCTCACCTCCAGCCCACGAATCTCCCTATGACAACCTCTGAATGTCGCGTCACATCCAATCCTAGATGTAAGGGGCATCCTCTTCCCAGCTCCAGAGCTGAAATGATTAGACTGACCAAACGGGATTACATTCATTGAGATTAACAACAAGATACAGGAACCAACCTGTCTTGAAGAAAAGGCTGTGCACAGCAAAAGCCACTCATAGGAACAGAATTATATGGCTACATGAGTTATTTAGCTCCTACCTCTAGGCAGGAAAGCAGCTAAATTGCAAGCATCTTAGGAGACAGTATATACAGTAGGGATGTTATCTTCAGCACCTTACAGTTCTCCAGAAAAGGCCATTTTGTCATCTTCTTCACTGTTCCAAGCTGTACCACCCTAGCACACCCTGTGCCTTCTACGCATGAACACGTGCACACAAGTCTGAGACATTATCTTGGCAATCTCCCTTTTACTTCCGCTGTTCTAGTTTCATTTGGGGAGAGACTTCTCATGACTCACTGTGTTCCCAACCACTTCAGGTCAAAAGCCTGATTCCATAGCAGTTTGGGGCATGCTCACCATACAGGAAAAGGCCCTTATGGTTCAAAACCTCCTGTTGGTAAAGTTCTCCCCAACCCAACCCACTACCCTTGACACATTCCACTTCAGCCACTCTCCCTCTCTTGCTGTTGATCAATGCAGACAGTCTCAGATTCCAGTTGCAGGGTGGGTGGACTGGGCAGGGCATTCACTCAGTTATCAAATTCTTGATGCTTGTTAGCAACACCGCTGTTTCTAAGCCTGTGGAGAGGGTAGGTCATATAGGGAGTCAGTAAGGGAAAGGCTAGAAGAAGAGAAAAATGAGGCGGTGATGGGGGGAAAGTTCTTACCAGTTCTTTCTCTCTCCTTAGCACATCTCCTATAGGAAGAAAAGCTTCCCATTGTGAGTTCAGCTAGCTTCAAAAAGGACCTTCCAACTCTAGAGACTCTCAAACTGCCTTTCCCAAGTTTAAGCCAATTTGGTGGTATAAGGAAGAGTCTAAGAATTTTAAGAGAACTAAGCGGACCACACCCCAAGCCTTAGGCAGCACAAATGAGTCTGAATTCACTTCATCTCAGGGGTCAAGGGAAAGTAAGGACCCAGAAAGCTGACGTACAAAGCACTTACCTTTGGAGAAGAAAGATCCACAAAAGCAGCAGGATAGAGACACAGTTGGTAATGATCCACATCATTAGGTAGGTGTGAGGTTTCTGTGGGAATAGAAAAAGACTCTGTTTGTGGCCAGAGCCCCAAGGGTAGTATATAGGGGGAAATAAGTAAGGAAGAGAGGGACAGGGTTAAGAAGAACTAGGGATGGGAGAAGAAGAGGACGGATGGCAGTTCCAGAGTTCTTACAATAAGCCAGACAGGGTAATGCATCTGCTGTAGCAGCTGGCAGTCATTGGTGGTGACTGAATCCACCCCTGCACACCAAAGCAGAGAGAAGAGCCAGGGCTTGTTCACTACAAAGAGGTTCACTGAGACATTATCCTGGTGCAATGTCCTATCAAGGTGGGAAAGAAAAGAGAACATCCAGAATCATGGTGCATGAAGTGTGAGAAGCAGCCTTCTGCCTGTGCTCAAATCTTACATCACTGTCAAGGAGGTTCTACCTTTGCACAGCAGACCTAACCTAAAGTGATTTTCTTTGTGTAGCTGAACTCTGTTTTCTGTTGGATTCTACCCATAGGCTCTAGCTTTGCCTTCTGGGACCACACAAATGTGGCTCTCCCCTCTGTACCATGACACCCTTCAGAGGTCTGAGGAACAGAGGCTAAGTCTCTCTGAGTTTACTCGTCTCCAGGCCCAATTGCCCCAGTTCCTTCAACCATAACTCGTGGGTCCTGGGTTATTATTTCCTTCACCATACAAGCCTCTAATCTGATCTTATTCCAGTTTATCAATGTTCCTTGAAAATATGGAGCTTGGCTCTGAAAATGATATCCTAGATGGGCTTGGACCAGTTTTGAGTAGAGCAAAACTATCTTCTGTCTTTGGGCACTATGCCTGTATAAAGCCAGCCCAGAGTCAGATTAGCCTTTGGTAATGTCACATCTCACTGATGACTTACTATGCATACTGTTCAACCAAAGCCCTGGTCCTTTGCACACATATTCCTGCTGATGCCACTGTATCCTCTCTGGTCTTTGTTAAACTGAGATTCTTCTGGGCCCCAAATATAGGTTTTTATATCTATCTTTGTTGCATTTCATCTTGCTAGATTTGGCCCATCTTTTTAGGGCACTTAGGACCTTTCAAGACCTCTATTACATCATCAGTGTATTCATTAATGATTTACATCTTTTGGAAACTTGATCAGCAATAAATATTGCTCAGGGCAAGACTAAGATAAAGGCCAAACGCTGTGTCATATCTTCCTCCATGATGACCACTTGAGGAAAGAAATACTTATTTAGTTCACATTTTTCTATCTGACCACAAGAGACCGTGGCAAGAGTGTACTTTGTAATCTGTCATGTTTACTGGCTGGGTCAGCCTCTGGGGCCCAGCTCACATCTGAGATTTTCTCACTTCTCTTTCCCCCAGATCTAGCCTCTCTTATGCTGATGTCTTTGGTATAGAATAAAAGCTAAAATCCTTCTTATGGTCTACAAGGTCCTACACAATTTGTCTACCTCTCTAGCTTTACCTTCTCCTTGCTCATGAGCCTGCTGTTCCTGCTCTTCTGCAGCTCTTCTCATAGTTAGCTCCTTTTGACCATCCAGATCTCATCTCAGACATCAGCACTTTAACCACTCTTCCTGATGTATTACACCCCCCCCCGGCTTGTCCCAGCCCTTCACTCCCAACCCTAATCACTCTTCTACATCTCCCTATTTTGTCTTCATAGCATTTATCACTTTTTTTTTTTTTTCTGAAACAAAGTCTCTCTCGCCCTGGGTAGAGTTCAGTGGTGTCAGCCTAGCTTATAGCAACCTCAGACTCCTAGGTTCAAGTGATCCTTTTTTTGCCTCAGCCTCCCAAGTAGCTGGGATTACAGGGGTCCACCACCATAACCAGTTAATATTTCTATTTCAGTAGAGATGAGGTCTTGCTTTTTCTCAGGCTGGTCTTGAACTCTTGACCTCAAGCTATCCTCAGACCCCATGAGCCACCATGCCTAGCCACACTTATCACTTCCCAATTTGCATGTATTTTAAAGTGGTTTATTGTCTATCTTTCACTAACACATAAATTCCATGAAAACACATAAATTCCTGTCTGTTTTATTCATGTTGTATGTATCCCCAAAGCCTGCAATAAATACTACCTGATATGTAGCAAGTGTTCAATAAATATTTGTTGTATAAATGAATGAATAGCCTTTGCGCTCCCTGAATTCTTCCCTGTCATTAAGCCTCATGTGATCTCCTTGGTTTCTTTCCTCTAGCACTCACTTGATATCCAACAGTGGTAGGTCTTGATAGGGGAGGTTGAGAAACTGGGGCCTCTTGGTTCTGTTGCCTCCTTGCTGTCCATATATCTGGCGCATTCTGGGTGCCCGTCGTTGGACATTAGCCCGATCTTCATCTGGAAGCCAAAGGACCTGTGGTTCAGAGAGGATAGGCATGAAGTTGAAGACCTAGAGATATCAGGGATAGGGGCAGGAACAGAGAGGATTGACCACCCAATGGGCTATGTGAGCTGGGACAGGGCCCTAGTGTAGAGAACAGACTCAAATCATCATCATGACCTAGGGAGGGCAGGGTGGGGAGAGGGACCAAAAGGGGACCTTGGGAGTTATAGCAACATCACCATGGCTTGGGGCACCCTTGCATTCAGCACAGCTTCCAATGTCTGGTTTACAAACGTGTCATAATATGTGTGGTTTTGTGGGGGTCGGCGCAAGTCAAACATGATGGAAAGGTTGAGGACTTCAGCTTCCTTCAACAGCTCTTCTAAAGCTGGTACTGACTGATTTTCAGCCTCTTTTCGATCTGGGCCTGACAGTTGCTTGGCCCCCCAGAAGGGATGCCGCTATAAAAAAGGACAATTATTTAAATATCAGAAGAGGACTCCAGGACTCCAAGATTTCCCCTTATCTTCACTGATATCCCCCAATTGGTACCCAGTTTCTTCCCACCTCTGAGCCTAGAACTGTGGCCTTTTTTTCCTTCCCAACCATCTCGTGCCTTATTCTATGATCTCAATCTCCTAACCTTTCGGTTTTCTAACTTCCTCCCTCCCACTACATCTTTTATTTGGTCTTGCAGAGACCTCTGGGATCTTGATCCTTTGGTTTCTTCACAGTCCACCAACCATTTCTGTACACATCTATATCCTGTACCCATGGTCCGTCCACAGCTTGAACTACTTTTCCACAGCACTCTCAACTCCCCTTCTGCCCCACTTGCCCTACAACTCCCAAATTCAGATTCAATTCTACAATTGTATGTCTCTTCCACTCCTAGAACTGGGGGCTGAGCATTGCTATAGGCAAAGTACACCATGTGGCACTGTTGTCCTATATTTTTCTTCCAGTACTGCTTAGCAATCCTTTTACTTGCTCTTGATTTGCTCCCTCATCTATTCTCCCTAGTCAGTATTCCAAGCCTCTGCCCACTTTCCTTTCTTCTCTTTATTAGCATTGAATGACCTCACTTCTAATCCCTGATATGGATAACATTTATTGAGTTATGTGACTGGCAGTGTTCTAGGTACTTTATGTATGTGTAGTAACAGCTTTGGTATCACCCTCCTTGTACAAATGAGGAAATTGAAGTGCAGAGAAACTAAGAAATGTTGCCCAGGGTCACACAGCTAGTAAGTGGTGAAGGCAAGATTCAAAGCTACACATCTCTTCTTCCTCTTCTTCCTCCTCTTCTTCTACAGAATCTCACTCTGTTGCCTCTGCTAGAGGACAGTGGCATCATCAGAGCACAAACTCGAACTCATGGGTTCAAGTGACCCTTCCAGCTCAGCCTCTCAGAGTGTGAGGATTAAAGGCATGAACCACCAGGCCCCCAGCCTCCTTGTTAATCACTTTGGTATGACATTAAATAGAGAGTTAAATGGGGGGGGGAAAGCAAATGCAAAAGAGTCTGTGTATAGCACTTGCAAACTGGCTTAGGAAAGGCAATAAAATATAATACAAAGAAACTGGATTACGAAATCACATGGGCCTGGCTTTGCCCTCAACAGCTGAGTGACCTCTGGTAAATCATCTCTGAGCCTTGATTTTTTCACATCATCAGTGAAGATATACCAATTCGTAGGACTACAGTAGGATCAAAGGTAACATATACATAGTGTACCTAGCATGTTTCTCAAATATGGCAGGTATTCAGTAAATTATTACACTGAAAAAGTGTATAGTGATCCTATTTGTGTAAAATAAAGAGTGTGTATAGATGTATATATTTGCAGATGTGCCTTGACTTATGATGGGGGTTATATCCTGATAAACCCATCATAATCATAGCATGGCCTATCCTACCTTAAACCTGCTCAGAACACTTAAATTAACCTATAGTTGGGCTAAATCATCTAACACAAGGCCTATTTTATAATAAAGTATTGAATAATTTCTCATGTATTGAATACTATACTAAGAGTGAAAAACAGAATGGTTGTATGGGTACTTGAAGTACAATTTCTACTGAATGTGTATTCTTGCACTGTTGTAAAGTCAAAAAATTGTTAAGTGGAAGCATCATAAGTCAGGGACTGTGTGTGTATCTAGCTGTTAGTGAATATTTCAGAGGAGTTGGATTATGGGAGACTTCTATTTTTGTTATTTCTCTTATTACTCTGGTATTTTACTTTTTTACATTGATCATGAATTATTTTCATTATCATGAAAAAAGGAACTGGAAAAATAAAGTATTCTTTTAAATATTTTCTATCATCAGCAGCGCCTGTAGCTCAGTGGGCAAGGTGCTGACCACATACACCCAGCCTGGCAGGTTTGAACCCAGCCCAGGCCAGCTTAACAACTATGACAACAACAACAACAACAAAAAATAGCTGGCATTGTGATGGGTGCCTATAGTCCCAGCTACTTGGGAGGCTGAGACAAGAGAACCGCTTAAGCCCAGGAGTTTGAGGTTGCTGTGAGCTGTGATGCCATAGCACTCTACTAAGGGTGACATAGTGAGACTGTCTCAAAAAATATATATATATTAATTATCACCTACAGGATCGAAGTTGACACTTCTAGGCCCAGCATTCAAAGGCCCTCAAGAAAAATCAAGCCTCTGCTCCTTACCACTCTCATAAATTTATACTGAACCACTTTTTGTTCCTGTGAAAAACACTTTATCTTTTCTTTTTCTTTTTTTTAAATGAGGCAGAATTTTACTCTGTCACCCTAGGTACAGTGCTGTGGCATCATAGCTCATAGCAGCCTCGAACTCTTGGGCTCAAATGAGCCTGTTGCCTCAGTTTTTCATTTTTTAGTAGAGACATGGTCTTGCTCTTGCTCAGGCTGGTCTCATACTCATGGGCTTCAGCAATCTGCCAGCTTTGGCCTCCCAGAGTGCTAGGGTTATAGGCATGACCCACCATGCCCAGCCCAGAAACACACTTTTTTATATTCTGGGCTTTATACAGGCTCTTCCTGCCTAGAATTCCCTTACCCTGCCCTGAGATGATAAAACTCACATCATATGTTGCTCATACATCCTCTCCTGTGTGAATCCATGCATGATCCTCTCCCATACTCACTTAGCAGTGACCTCTCTCTCCTCTCTACCCAGGGGGAAAAAAAAGAGAGTATATATATATATATATATATATATTCTTTTTTGAGACAGAGTCTCACTCTGTCACCCTGGGTAGAGTGCGGTGGTGTTATCATAGCTCACTCAAACACTTGGGTTCAAGCAATCCTGTCTCAGCCTCCTGAGTAGCTGGGACTATAGGCACCAACACAATGCTTGGTTTGTTTTTCTATTTTTAGTAGAGATAGAGTCTCACTCTTGCTCAGGCTAGTCTTGAACTCCTGAGCTCAAGCAATCCACCCACCTTGGCCTCATAGAGTCCTAGGATTAGAGGTATGAGTCACTGCACCCAGCCCAGGAAAAAAATTTTTTATTGCTCTAGGTTTCCTATTCTAATTGTCTGTTGCCTAGGCACTCTTCTTCCTTACTAGGTAGGAGTGACTTGAGAGCAGGTTGTGTTCCTACCACACAGGGCTCAGCAAATGCTTATCAATGGAATGAACTCTGCCCTCTCTGAGTACCCTGCAAGTGGCTACATCTTCCCAGAGGCTATTCTTACCTCTAGGAACCAGGTCCCAGCATTAAGTCTCTTCAGTTCAGCCCAGGAGAAGTCACTGCTATGGGTTGTGATTCGGGCTGGGAACACAGAGGCTACATCTGTGGTCCTGCTCAGGCTCTCATCATGCATGAGGAAGGGGATTCCATCAGAGCTGAGGATGCAAGGGGTTTCAGAGGGCCAAGCTGTGCATCTGGTCATCGTTTCTTGAGCTCTGTCCCACAGGCCCCCCAGATCCCCTAAGCCCCGGCTTCCCTCACCTGATCATTACATCTGTCTCAAATACAGTAGCTCCACATTCAGCTGTCTTCCGTAGGGACATCAGGGTGTTCTCTGGGGCAAGCTGGGAAAGGGAATTGGTGAGGTGTTAGGAAAGAATGGGAGAATAAGAACCCACAGGCCTGCCTACTGCAACCCAGAGGAGGAGCAGACCCCCACTGCCTCCTAGCATTTTGCCCAATACTTACCATGGGGGCCCCTCGGTGTCCCACCAGTCCAGGCTTAGGGGGTAAGTCTCTGGGTTCCATGATGCAAGGTGAGGAGATGCATAGGGGGACCAGATAGATGACCAGGGAAACTCCAAAAAATAGAAGCAGTAGCAGAACCTTGGGTCCTGTGGGGAGTGAGGGATAGCGTTTGGAGAAAGGGCAGTGGGGGAGTTCTGGGAGCAGACGGCAGAGAGCATGTGCAGGAAACCAGGGAGGCAGCAGAAGGCAGGAGCATGGGTGGGTGAGTGGCCAGTGAGGGTGAGTGGTGGGGCAGAGTTGGCACCTCTTTGGTGGATATGGTAGAAAGTATCAGCCACAGGCCAGGCCAGGACGGTGATTCCAGCAACTGCTCCAATATGAAGGAATGGGGCTGTGGCCTATGAATAAGAGCTGGTGAGGAGGACTCTTTTTTCTATTTCCCCTCCCTCCTTTCTTCTTCCAGCTTGACTTTTGAAATTCAGAGCTACCTGATCTGGGATTGGCCACAGGCAAAGGCTCCTACCTAGACACTTGCGATCAGCCACTCACCTGCAGTGACAGACGTAAGCTATGCCACTCCTGCTGCCATTGGATGTCCAGTCCCACAAGGCCAATGACCACAAAAAACATAATGAGGAGCAGCAGCACCTGGGGGATCAGGGATGAATTTCGTCCTCTTTGTCAACATAGTTGGGCTCATAGTTACCTGGGCTGTTCCCTCACGCTATGGAAAAAGGATTTCGCCCTTCCCTTCCCCCATCATGTCTACATTCCTTCCTTCACTCAACAAATATTTACTGGGCTTGGGAACCTGGGGTCAATCCCAGGATATAAAAGTGAAGTCCTCAGCAAATAGCCCACCAAACACTGGGCCTAGTGGCCTCCTCTCCTATTCACTCCCATTCCCACTTTACCTTGTGGAGACTATGCAGATGCAGAGGCTGTCCACAGAGCTGCAGAAGCAGGGCCAGGAGCTGTGGGCAGAGGGTAGTGGGACTTATGAGGCATTAAGAGGGGTAGAAGGTCACTGAAGTGGGACTCCCAGACTGGTACCTCCCTCCTACCCAAGAAATAGTTCCCGTCCATCGGTGGGCAGGCTGAGAACAAGGGGATAGAGGTGAGCAGGAAGGAAAGGCTAAGGTGTGGGTTAGGCCGGCTGCCCCTGGACCCACCAATAGCAGGGATGCATATGTGACCAGTAGAGAAGTGACCAGCAGAAATACCAGGGACCAGTCCATCCAGTGTCCCCAGTGGAGGAATAAGAATCTGTAGGAGAGAGAGAGGTGTCCAAGTAGGAGAAGGGGTATCAATAGTGGCCTGAAGGGAGTTGGGGATGGTTGGATCCAGAAGGGAGTGAGGGGAAAACCCCTCATGGGACCAGGACTCCACAGCTTGGGAAGATTTTGTGGAGGTATTTCCAAAGGCAGTTGGGTAGCAGAAGAACTGGCTTGAGGGGCTGGGCAGGGATGGGGGATGCCTGATTATAGGGTTGACCACTCAGAAGTCCCAAGGTGGGGAGTAGGTTGACATGTATGCTAAGGAAGGGTTGGGAGAATCCATGACACACTCATTGAAGTTGTGCAGGTCATTGAGAAGGATGAGCCCGATGTACAGCCATCCCAGGGAGAGGAGGAAGGTGAGGAAGAGCAGGCCAAACCAGATACAGTCACACTGCAAAGGGTAGGAGAGAAGCTCATAATTGATCCCTATTTCAAGCTCAGTCTCCAATGTATGGCACCTGAAGGGAACTTCCCACCATGTGTTGGGCTGTTCTGCTCTAGGAGCAGCTTTTTCCATATTTAAGGGGTATTTTCTTCCTGGGGAGAGAAAGTTCCTTTCCCCCAGCTGCCTGAGTATAACTGGCCTCCTTATCCCTGCTAATGGGCCTCTGCCTTCTGACTTCCAGCCTCCCCACCCCTCCATCCCTACTCCACCTTGCTGGTTTTCATCTTTTCTTTAGGGCATTTCCTCCAGTGGCAGCTATACAGGCAGTGGAGGCAGCGGGCCCAGATGGAGCAGCAGCCAGGGGACTCAGCCATGAGGAAGGCCTGGGGGAGGGGACACTCAGCCATCAGGGACCCTGGCAAAGGGCAAATCCCAGCCTTCCTCTCAGTGTTAACTGAGGAGCCCAGGAAAGCGGCAGAGGCCTGGGCTGCTGCTCAGCAACAGAGATCACAGGGCAGGCTCAGAGTACCAGATTGGATGACCTGGAAAGTCAGTGGGACACCCAGGAGGTCTAGGCTCTTTGCAGGCAGAAGGTATACCCACTCTTTCCAGCTCCTCTCCATTTAACAGACACCAGCTCTGGGGATGGAGTGCTTGCCTAGGGGTAAGGACTCAGGAGAAACTGCCCAGGGTGGGGCAAACTCAGTTCAGCAAGTTGAGGCAGATCTGGCCAAGCTTGAGGCAGCCCCATAATGAGTTGAAGCAGGAGTAACATGAAGCAGAGGTTCCAGTTCTGACCTGGGGCTGAGGGAGGCCCAGCTTGTCGGCCAGTTGCTATGGATACAAAGAGCACACAAATCACAAAGCCCTGACTGAAAGATTCTGTGTACGCCTCCCGCCTCTCGCCTCCCAGGGGAGGAGGGCATTGCCAAAAAGAGGAAGACTTGAGGGGAACAGGTTGCCTGGGTCACTCTTAGTCTTCTGAAGGAACCCTTATTCCTATCTGTGCACATCTGGAAAATCCAAGCTCTCCCACCCCAGTCCTGTTTTTTCTTGCCCAGCCATCCCCCAACCCCAATGAGAAACCCAGTCTCACCTTCTCTCTGTCAGAGGCCCCACCCTCTGAGTTAGCTTTGGTGAAAGTATACAGGGCAAAGGTGTGTGTGTGTGTGTGTGTGGTTGTCTTGGGGCAGGGGATCCTTGTACCTTGTGTTTCTGGTCTGGCTGAGACAGCTGATTTCCAAACTGGGCTGGATATGTGATCAAGATTCTACATGAGAGGGTGTGTGATATATGGTCAGCATGTGTACCTACATTTGTACTAGTGGCTGTCAGTACAATGTGTTTTGAGGGACTTTGAATATGTAAAGAAGTTCCTGGATATACTCAAAGAATGTTTGTGTATGTGTGCGTGTGTGGTCTAAGGGACAGCACCCCATGTCATAAAGGTTCCCCTGAGGTTGTGAAGTCTCACAGGGGTACAGTGACTGGACCCCTGAAAAGAGGAAGAGTGTGACTGCTCCTGAATCTACCCTCTTTATGCTGCCTTTGGAATGGAGTATTATTATTATATATATTTTTTATTTTTATTTATATATTTTTTAAGAGACAGAGTCTCACTTTATTGCCCTTGGTAGAGTGCCGTGGCATCACACAGCTCACAGCAACCTCCAACTCCTGGGCTCAGGCAATTCTCTTGCCTCAGCCTCCCGAGTAGCTGGGACTACAGGCACCCACCACAACGCCCAGCTATTTTTTGTTGTTGCAGTTTATCCGGGGCCGGGTTTGAACCCCCTACCCTCAGTATGTGGGGCCGGCGCCTTACTCACTGAGCCACAGGCACTGCCCTCTTATTATTATATTACTATTACTAGGATAATGCTCCCCTCCCTGAGATCCTTTCCAGGAAAAAGCCAACCTAAAAGGAGGCCCCTGAATCTACCCATCTCTGGGCTGGGTTATAGTAGCCTGCCCTGGGCCTCAGTCCACATCTTTTGCCTCACCTGGGGTCCTACCCTCCAGCACTCCAGGCATTTGCCTTCCAGAGTCCCACCTCCCTCCAGAGCTGTCTATGTAGGTGGGATCAGTATCTAAGCAACCTGAAAACCCCAGCTAGGGGAGCTGTTAGAGGTGTTGCCCAATCCCTGGGCCTAATCTCTGTCAGGTGGAGCCAGTCTCCACTTCCACTCACAGTTCCCGCCTGTAGCCCCCAGCCTTCCCAAGCCCTCACACCTTTTCTCTGCTGCAGCTCTGCTCTGCTCTCTGCTCTCCACTGCTTCTCAGCTCTTCTTGGAGTTGTCTGCCTCCTGTCTCTTCCAGTTCCTGGCTCAGGCCCATCAGTCAAACAGGTGGCACGGTTGCCACCTACAGGAGGTTGGGTCTTCTCTGAAGGCCTGCATCTGCTCTATGGCCTGGGCCCAGCCTGGGTGGGAAGATAGGAGGGAGGAACTGGGAGGGAGCACAGATCTGCTTATTTCCTCACTGGCGCTGGTGCTGGCAGTCAGGGGGCTTGGGTTGAGGAATTCCTTTGTGTAGCTTTCCCCATCTCCCTCTGTCCCTCCTCCTGTTCCCCTCCCAGTCATTGCTGGGGCTTTGTCCTGGCTCAGGGAGGCGAGGGCTGAGGGCACAGGCAGTGGGAAGCTGGGGGGAAGTTGCACAACTTTGCAACTTGGCAGTGACAAGAAGGGGCCCAGCCAGCCCCCTAGAATGGAGTGTGTGTGTAAGTCTGGATCTAGTCTCAAGCTCCCTGGGAGTACAGCCCTGATTATTAGCCTCATTTCCTTCCTGGGCTTCTACTTCACTTCTGCAAGGAACATCTATAAGAGATGTAGCTGCAAGCTACTTTTGGAACTTCAGGTAACAGGTCACCCTGTTTCTGGACCAGGCATCTTCATGGGCCTTAGTGGATCCTCGGTAACACTAGCAGCCCTCCCCTTCCCCATCCACCCAGACAAAAGATGCTTATTCAGGACATGCTGAGACATACATCATTCCTACTGCCTTGTCCCCAAAGCATCTAAAGTCTCTTTCCAAGAAACCTTTGAGTATGTTAGGGTCACAGGCTTTTGGAAGATGAATGCATACAAAAGATCATCAGTGAGAAAGGGCTGGCTAGCAAATTATAGTCTGCTTAACACTAAAGCAAGGGGTCTGGGGGGTTGGGAGCTGGTTTGATTGACCTTTCCTCTCTACATTTTGGCTGATAAAGTGTCTGGGGGTTGATAATTCAGTGTTGGTGGGAAAGGATGTCTTCTCTGGGCATAAGCCTCTTACCCTTCCCCCCACATGCACAGAATTTCAAACAGAAGACTGGCTCTCTTATGCCAAGAGCCAGTCCCCCTCCCTTTCAGCTTTCTCATTGTATCCAGAGGCTCCCTTGCTCCCTCAGCATTAAAATGCAAAGAGAAGCTGGGCTGTTTGCTGGCAGGAAACCAGGGAGGACCAGCAAGTCAGCTAGTCCTCTGCAGATTTCATTCTAGCCAGGTAGTCTTCAATTTCCTTTGTTTGGACTCTGGTGGATTCTAGAGGAGACCTGGCTTTTGAGTTCTTTAGGATGGATAGTTTGTGAGCTTTTTTAGGGAGAGGGATCTGGGATTTAGAATACATGGATATGAAGTCCAGGGCTTGTTAGCTCCTCAGAAGGCTGCAAGTCTAACGAGCAACCTTTGTATAGCATTCCAGAGGTGGCCCCCTTTTAACTTTAAGCAGATATGGAGACCCCTGATGCATAGTAAGAAGTAGGCCTCTCCTTTGTCAAAGGAAAAAACAAGGAGCTATCCTGGGACTAGACATCAGTGTGGTCCTACACGCCTACAGCCAAGAAATCAGGCCACAGGGCATGAGGAATAAGCCACTACTGGCACTCTAGAATCACACAGAAGCTTGGACAATAGATCTGGGTTCAAATCCTAGTTCTATCATTCACTAACTTTGTGACTCTTTTTTTTTTTTTTTTTTTT